CCTCCCCTCCCCTCCCCTCTCCTCCTCCTCCTCCTCCTCCTTCTCCTCCTCTTCCTCCTCCTTCCTCTTCCTTCTCTTTTGAGAAGGTCTCACTCTGTAGATAGGCTAGCCTCAAACTATGATAATCTTCCCAGTGCTTCACCCTCAAGAATTCTGGGATTACAGTGAGCTGCCACAGCAGACTAGGATTAATCTTTTTTTAACTTTTATGTGTGGGGTTTTGCTTGCATTTATGTCTGTGTAGTTTTTTTTTAAGAAAGATTAATAAATTAACAATGTTTCTCATTCTGTGAAGTTCCTGTGCAATCCGTTTATTGTCACATTAGACTTCTCGGGGACTGCTTCTGTTGCTCCCAAAGAGTGTCATGCTTGGTGAGGGGGCAGGGGCAAGAATTGCAAGACCCTTTCAAAAGTATCTTTTAAGACTTATTCCTATTTGTAGAGTATGTGTATATGTGTGTGTCTATGTGTGGGTATGTGTATGTGAGTGCAGGTGGCCACAAATGCCAAAAGAGGGTGTCTGATTGCTGAGAACTGGAGTTACAGGTGACAGTGAGCCACCCAGCATGGGTGCCTGTGAACCAAACCAAACTTAGAGTGGCAAGTGCTCTTCACTGCTAAGCCACCTCTCCAGTCCCTAAAACAATATTTTGTTATGTTTGCTGATTTGGGGTGTGTGTGTGTGTGTGTGTGTGTGTGTGTGTGTGTGTGTGTGTGCTTGCATGTATGTGTGCACGTGTGGAGGCTAGAGGACCGTTTTCAGGAGTCAGTTCTCTTTTCTCCTGGCGGGCCCTGGGGATAGAACTCAGGGCATCAGCCTCAGCAGGGAACATCTTCAGCACTGAAAAATGTTGTTTGTCCTTATACTTGTAACACTGGGCATTGGTGACACTTTCTTATAGTGCCCTCAACCGCATCGACCTTGAAGTCCTTTGCTTTAATGCTTTTGGTTTGGGTTTTGTGTATGTGTGATTTATTTATTTGGGGGTTGGCATTGCATGTGTCTTATGTGCTTGGACATGAGAGGCCAGAGAAAGATGTCAGGTTCTTCCTCTATTGCTCTCTCTCTCTCTCTCTTCTCTCTCTCTCTCTCTCTCTCTCTCTCTCTCTCTCTCTCTCTCTCTCTCTCCTTTCTTTCCTTCCTTCCTTCCTTCCTCCCTCCCTTCCTTCCATCCTTCCTTCCTTCTTTCCTTCCTTCCTCCCTTCCTTCCATTCTTTCCTAAGACAGTGTGTCTCGCTGAAGCTCATCATCCTGGTTAGTCTGGCTGGCCAGCAAGCTCCAGGGTCTGCCTGTCTCCACAGACACTTGTGGCCATGCCCAACTTCTACAGGAGTGCTGGGGGTTTGAACTCAGGTCCTTTTGTTTTCATAGCAAGTGCTCTTATCCACTAAACCATTGCTTCAGCTCTTTTTTTTTTTTTCGTTATTGTTTTGGTTTTTCGAGACAGGATTTCTCTGTGTGTAGCCTTGGCTGTCCTGGAACTAGTTCTGTAGGCCAGGCTGGCCTTGAACTCATAGAAATATGCCTGCCTTTGCCTCCTGAGTGCTAGGATTAAAGGTGTGTGCCACCACTGCCTGGCTATGTTTTGTGGAGTTTTTTTGTTTGCTTATATATTGAGAAAGGGTCTCATGTAGCCCAGGCTGGCCTTGAATTCTCTATGTAGCTGAGGATGACCTTGAGTTTCTAATTCAACTACCTCCATCTCTGAGATTACAGGCATGTGCTACTGTGTCCAGTGTTGTTGCTTTGGAGTTCATAATTGACCTCCATTTGCCTTATTCTGACTTGGTCATCTCAGAGCCAACCCAGCTGGCTTTGACTCTTGGGCATGAAACCACAAGCAAGGAACCTACTCTGGGGTGGTTTGTGGGACTGTGAACATTTACCGAAATAACAGGGACAGTGGGTATGACTCAGGGGAGGAACATTTGCTTAGCATGATGTAGGCTGTTGGTTTGATATGAGCATTGCCAGGAAAAGGAAGGAAAGAAAGAGGCAGAGAGAGAAGATGAAGGGAGAGTGAGAGAGGGAAGAACAGCGGAATAAGGAAGATGGAGGAGTAAGCCAGTGGCTGTCCCACACGTAGGTGGCTGTCATACAGCACACGTTTTCCTTACAACTTAGGCTACTGAGAGCAGCTTTTGTTTTCTTCAATGTTTAAAAATTAAATATAAGTATATTATTTTTCCCTCCCTTCTCCTCCCTACAATCCCTCCCCTTCCCATCTCCCCGTGGCTCCCTTCTACATCCATGCCTCCAATCATTATTGTCACATAGATGTAAGTATGACCTGCTGAGTCCTTTTAGTGTTGCATGGATGTGTGTGATTTCGTGGATGACTAGTTGGTATTGGATAACCAGTTAGTGTAGTCATCCCTGGGGAAGACTGTTTCTCCCAATCTCAGCGTTTCTTACTTGCTTTTAGTTCTTTATCTAGGGGTGGGCGCCGTGAGATTTCCCCCTTCTACGTTACTAGGTCTGCTGGTGTTGTCATTGTTCAGGTCTCCATTAGGCAGTCATATTGCTGAGGTATCATGGGTGTAGCTTCTTTGTCATTTCTAGGAGACACAATCTCACAGCAGACTTAAGCTTTTATTGTCCTTTTCCAATAAATGTTTCAGTATATTTTGTTTTTACATGGCAGGGACCAGGAGAAGTAGATGATAGCATTCATTGATGATTTTGAGAGGGATTGAACCTAGGACCTTATACTGAACTGTACTCCCAGCCCTTATTCTAGTTTTTATTTTGAGACAGGGTCCTACTGAGTTACTCAGGCTGGCCTTGAATTAACACTGTGGCCCAGGTAGCAGTCCTGAACTTGCCATTCTCCTGCTTCAGTCCTCAGAGGTGCTAGGATGGCAGGCCTACACCCCCAGGACCTGCAAATATTTTCTTAAACTTGATTCCATGCAGCAAGCAAAATGCCAAGCACTGAGGCTGAAGAGATGACTCAAGGTTTAACAACATGCATTGCTCTTTCAGAAAACCCGAGTTCGGTTCCCAGCACCCATGTCAGGAGCTCACAACTGCCTGCAGCTCCAGCTCCACAAGGATCCAACATCTCTGGTCTCCACAGGCTCATGAACTCACACACACACACACACACACAGAGAGAGAGAGAGAGAGAGAGAGAGAGAGAGAGACAGAGACAGAGACAGAGACAGAGACAGAGACAGAGATTAAAATAACAACAACAGAAAAAAAAAAAAACAACAACAAAAACCCAAGAACTGGGATGGTGCTTTGTGGCTGAGCACTTGCCTGAGATTCAGATCTCAGCACTGTCAAATAAGTATCTACATTTTAAATTCTAATTCGTTGTAAGATATAAGTGGTGCAGCTCTGAAGGGAAAGGCTTCCCCCGCAGAAGTATTCTACTCTGCGGCAGCTGGGAAGGTTTCCCCAGTGCAGGTGTTACAGCTCCGAAGGGAAAGGTAACCTGGCAACCAGGAGCCAAGGACCACCACCAAGTCACACCACACAATGAATCTCACACAAGAGATTTATTGGGAGGGAGAAAAACCAGCAGGGAGCAATGAATTGCTCCATT